AAGCAGCAACAAAAATAATTTTATGGTTGGGAAGTCACCACAACATGAGGAACTGTATTAAAAGGTCACGGCGTTCAGAAGGTTAAGAACCACTGCGCTACAGGACCCTCAAAAGCTCTTTCACCATTATAATCTGTAGGCGAGGCTATAACTTAATTCTTCTCTATTCCTTATGTAACTCCCCAATACTTCTTTACTGGTACTGCTGTTACAGCTAACTTCTCTGTTAGGGAAATTGAAAAGAAGTCCTGTAGAGTTCTGATGCGTGAATTGCTATGACATATTTATGTTAACAGCCGTCACAGGCCCGCCCATGAAGAAAGCACCTGCACAAGGAGAGTTCTCCATTGGATTTTCCTTGTACAGGGTCCTCCTTGTACATCCGAGTCCCATAGAAATACCAGTAGAGTGCCCCGGAATTGTCTTCACCCAGTGGTTCCACACGGAGACTGTCTGCATCCAGACCCTAGGGAGAAGAAATTGAAGATGGGGGTTGGGAGAGTGGTGAGAAACAAAACAAACAGGAGAAAAAATGTAAATAGGAATCAAGACCAAGTGTAACAGTTGGTTTGTAGAATTTTTCAATCTAGCAGATATGAAAACCAGAGAATGGGACAGCGCACTGTCTTTTCAAGAATAAAGCATGGGAATATCTAACTGCTCCTCACCCCACCATTGTCCTATTTCACACACACACACACACACACACACACACACACACACACACACACCAAAATGAACTTTTGATGTATATTTTATAGATCTTGCTTAGATTTATTATGATTTTGTGTGTGCACCCATGAAAAAACAATTGCAGTAGAGCAAAAAAAGATGTGAAAGCGTTGTCCCACGTGATTCTCTATTGTAGCTCCATCGTAACCCACAGTAACCTCTTATTCCAGCTGAGCTCCAGCAATACAGCTCCCAATTTACCCTGGGGTCTGACCCATGTTGGCCTTCTGACTGCTATTCAAGTCCTGGAGTTCTCAGCAAAGACTGTGCTAAATTACACAGTGATTTTTATAACATGGCCGGGAGTGAAGTCATCAACACATCTAATCATTTGTGATTGAACAGGATTAGAAACTGACCTCCCTATGAGTGAAAAGCAATAACCCACACCCTCCCTCTGAGACGGGCTTCTAAAACAGATATAACAAAAGAGGACGAAGGAGGAAGGAAGAGATAATCCACTTTTTATTTTTCTTTGACAACACAAGGTGCATGAAAGATGAACTTTACTAGCCTACAAGAAGGTTTAAGATCTTTGGAACCTTCAATAAATGTATTTCTATTAGATTCAACAGAGTTTGGACTTAGACAAATAAAAGGCTATCCATAGGCTAATTTAGTTGCAATTTGGTTGACAACAGGGAGTACAAATACCAAACAACCAAAACCTAACCACTGCTATTGAGTAAATCCTGACACTGAGCAAACCTACCCAAGAGTAGAAATGCTACATACGGTTGCCAAGGACGTAAATATTTTTTGTTTTAATATAAATTGGGAGTTAATACATCATGTTATTCCATAGTTCAATCATGTCAAACAGGATTATAAAATTGCTACCACAATTAAGTTTCCAAACATCCTTCCTAGACTCCTTGATATTGAAGGGTGCAAATCTTTCCCGTGACAGACCCCCACATCTTTCTCCTATTTCAAACCACCAACCTTTCGGCTAGCAGTTGAATATGTTAAGCACTGCATCACCAGACAAAAAGAGCTGCCTCCAATTCTTCTAATGCCAGCGCAGACTCGAGCAAGTAGGAGAAAACAAAACCAAACAGCATCTATGGATTCCCTTGGCTAAGTGGTCAGAGTTTCGTAAGGTACATAGTGATACTAGTGACACACTCTCCCGATCTTCAGATGTTACACTGATAACACCTCCCCACGCCACCCCACCTCACCCCCACGGAGGGGCTTCCCACTTCATCACCTTGAGCAGATCGAAGACATCGTCTGCATCTAGCCGATAATCACAGAGGCGATGAAGGATCTCCACACGGGTGCGAAGCGGCAGTTCTTGAAAGCTAGCTTCTCTGAGAGGGTTGGGTTTCCCTTCTTCAAGCTCCCAGCGGTAGTTGATGATGTCCTCTAGGTAGCTGTGGAATGTCTGGGGCCTAACCAAAGCACCCCCAAAAGAAAAACACGTCAATGTAAAAGCCAAGTGGGGAAGGAGGGAAAGAACAAGACAGTGTGCTCACTGAGAAATCTTAACGAGGACGAAAATGAGATTTTGTAATACGAAGGCTTTCGAAGGCTCCCTCTGAAGATTCACATTATCTTTTAATTCCCCACATCACAAAGATCAATATGTTAAGGGTAGTTCTGACAAAATGGGTTGTTGTACTTTAAACTACAAACAGCACATCCTGATCTACAAGGCTTTAATAATTCATGATGGAAATTGTAGACTGAAGTGACCACCTTACTTTTGCTCCTATGCAGGTCAGATATAATCAATGGTTCGGAAAAAAGGCCCACCACATAGATGGCTTCAAGCCAAGATGTAATGGTACACATACATGGAATAATGTATATTCCATTATACATAAAATCTTAAATCTCACAAAATACTATATTCTTTAAAAAAACAACAACACCTATATTCTAAATTTTGAAGATAGCCTTTCTGTGTGTGTGTGTTTTCTGGCAAAGACCAGAAAACCGGTTAGACAAATTCTAAAAGAGCTGTGACACTGAAGATAGCCTTTCTATAGAAAAGATTTCAAGACAGCTTTAATGGAAACTTGAACATTTTGGGGTGGAGTTTTAAGAGGAACTCTACAACAGCACTCTAATCAGTATGTGTAAAGGTGCTCTGTATATAGGATCCTGAAATTCAATTATTTGATGGTTATTCTACATCTGAACAATTAAGGAATCTGGACTTAATTTCACCTCATGCTTGATTTGAAACATTTTCTCGCAAAGGGACCAAAGGAATTATTCGTCAAATTGGTGCATCTACATTTCTAGAAAGAGGCAAAGGAAATATTTGTTGAGAAAATGAAGAAGTTGGTTTTTAAAAAATTTTTTAAATCATTTTATTAGGGGCACACACAACTCTTATCACAACCCATACATACATCAATTGTGTAAAGCACATTTGTACATTCATTGCCCTCATCATTCTCAAAACATTTGTTCTCCACGAAGTCCCTGGCATCAGCTTCTCATTTCCCCCCATCCCTCCTGGTTCCCCCCTCGTCACAAACCCTTGATACTGTATAAATTATTATTTTGTCATATCTTGCCCTGTCCGACGGCTCCCTTCACCCACTTTTCTGTTGTCCATCCCCCAGGGAGGAAAGTTATATGTAGATCCTTGTAATCGGTTCTCCCTCTCTACCCCACCCTCCTGGTGAAGCAAGTTTTTTGAAAGAAGAAAAAAATTGGGTCCAAGAAATCTACATTAACAAGAACCCTAGAAATGTGATGTGACTAAAGTCCCCCTGGAAGCCCGAGTCCTGGCTAGTGCTGGAGCTTGCTTGAACCTTGGCCTGGCCTGGCCTGGCCTCTCCACTACCTGTGAAGCTGGTGGTGTTGCCCTTTTAGGAGTGCGTACCTGGGTAAAGAGGAGTTCAAAACTGGTGGTATAAAGTTGACAGTACGTTTAAAGCAAATTTAAAGGTAAAATGGCAATTCTGTTTTTAAAAGAAATGATTTTGATTAGCCAGGAGTGTGAAGAAGACAATCAGAGACCGCCTCTTACTCAAATGTCAGACAAAAGGCGCGTATAAACAAACCAGTGGAACAAACGCCGTATGTATATCAACAGTGCTGTTCTTTGTCCCTACAATTTGTCTGAAAGCCTCTACTTCTCTCAAAGAATTGCACGTTTCAGATTCCTTTCTAATAGCCTTATTCTCCTCTGTTTCAATTATGTCACCTTTGTGGCAAGTTTTCTTTAAGATGGCTCCTTAAAAGCCTGCAACATGAAGAGGTACTTGATGGCTGAACATACAAAATAATTCTATTTAATTGTATATAGATATAATTCTTTTCATATAAATCTGCATCCTTTTCTTTCAACACCAGAAACTGAAGGTAGAAAAACAAGCAAGCAAACAAATAAATTTGTGAAACCACAGATACTGGCCAGGGGCAATTTGAAACAGAAAGAAGGCTCCAGAAAACTAAAGTCTGGGCTAGTACTTTCTGAATTAGTAGTTCTTAAATTCTACAGGCAATAAATTCCTTGATGAGTAGTAGCCTTTAAGAATTTAAGATCCTAAGGCTTGAAGGTCATCGGGCATCTAGCTCAGAAGCAACAAAGCCCACATGGAAGCACACCTGCCTGTGTGATCACGAGGTGTCGAAGGGATCAGGTATGAGGCACCAAAGAACAAAAAATCGTATCATCGTGAATGAGGTGTGTGTGCGCG